AAAATGCAAAATTTTTTATAGGTTTTAGGTTTTTTTATACAAAATTGGATTGGAGGGTGTTAAATATAATCGATATATCTATATTCTAAACATTTGAGAGTTCTTCTTAATAAAAATGTACAGTGAAAAATTTCCAAAAAAAGCATCATATACGAGCACTAATATCTCTAATTAAAAATAGATTTTTGTTTGATGAAAATTTCGGAAATCAGAAATCCTAAATGTAAAGTAGGCGTTAGTGATGATATACCTGTTAGCATGCTCATAAGTGAACAAAGGACGTTAAAGTGACTTTTTTAGGGAGACTTTATACAATGGCTAGGGTAAAATCTGATCCGATAATTACGAAACTCGGCTATATCCATTTAAGATTATTATATGTTCTCACTTGCTTAATTTCATGTCTCTAGGTTCAATATTATAGAAAATTCAAAAAGTACTTCCGAGGAACGAAAAAATAGCAAAAAGTTCTCCATTAATGCGGGCTCTACATATTAGTTTCTTTATTCTAGGTTCAATATTATAAAAAAAAATCAAAAAGTACCTTTTCAAAAATAAAAAATTACCAAAAAGTCCACTAGTAAACTCAAAAATATCTTTTGAAGAAGGAAAAAGGACCAAAAATATTCTTTTTATACGAAAAAGTACCAAAAAGTCCCTTTTTATATGTTCCCACTTACTCCAGGTTATATACACGCTTAATTTCATATTTATAGGTTCAAGATTAAGGAAAATTCAAAAAGTTACTTTTGAAGAACAAATAAGTTCTTATTTACTCCGGGACCTATATGCTTAATTTCATGGTTCAAGCCAATAACAACATACAGTTTCATCCGTAACGTGTTGCTCTTCCTCTGCTTTGTTTTTATAAACAAGCAAGAACAAAATTTACCGTATGATTATGTGTGTTAAATTTAAATATTGGAAAAGCTTTTGAAATTACAGTTTGTAAGCAATAGATACAGTTATATTGAAATTACGCTGTTAATAAACTATATTATCTAGAGCTGTTAAAAATGTATTAATTTTAACATTTTAGTTGAAGGAACTTATCCTGTTATAACACTGTTACAGTTTTTATAGTATATATTCAACTTTTTAGAAGATTTCATTAATTATTACGTACATACTAACACCGTTTTATAATTACAATTAATTAATTAATTAATTATATATACATATATATATAGTTAATTATAATTATTTAATTTATCAAGATAATAACAAATTTATTCGTGTTTAAATCTTTACAGAATGGAAGCGGAAATTGCTCTTTAATTTCCATATTGGTGCAAGACTCTGCTACCAATCAAAACGAAATAGCAGAAAAGTATACTTTATTAAAAAAGCTCAAAAAAACTTTTAATGTTGTGAAAACTTTTCAATGACCTTTAAAGTTTTAAAATAACTAAATTATTAATAAATATTTTTTTTTCAGCATAATTATTGTTCTCCACACGATTTTTTATATAAATAAACTTTTTATCGTTTTGTATCATCACTAACTGTTATCGTCGATGTTGTTCATTTTTATCTTTTAAAAATCGATAAAACTCACAACAAAATCGCTAAGTTATTACAATTACCTTCTCCTAATACCCCAGCTGGCAAATCATTCCGCTATCTTTGACACATCACAATCTCAGAACGAAAAAGAAAACAAAAGAGAAAAAAAAAAACATAGAAAGACAAAGAAAAGAGAACATGAAAAAGTTTTGTCAACATTATTTTCATTGATAAAATCACTAATATATACGCTGAAAAAACAATTAAAAATTTAGTACAATCCCATGCACAATAACATTGCATGTGGATCATCAATCCACCCGAGGAATGTCAACGTTTGGGTCTAACCATTGAACATCTTTTCTCCCGTTTGTATGTTATCATCAGAAACGAACCTATCTGAATCTTTTCATACACAGCTGCCTGCCAGCCGTTTAATTTCTCATACATTGTTTTGAATTTTTACAGAATACAATGCTGATGTCGTGAAGAGTCTGAATAGGATCCCGATTTTCCTATGCCCCAAGAAATGATAGTAGACTCAACATGCACCAACAATCTAAATTTTTGATGAAATTTTCAGAGTTTGTATCCGATTTTTTCTCATATTTCCCTTATTTATGGACCGATTTTGTTGATTTTAAATAGAGGTCTTCCCGATTATATGTCTGATAGAATTATTAAAGATTAGGATCTCGCAGATTTCTAGGGTCTTCTGAAAACTGATTTTAAATAGAATTCTTAACGATCATAGGTCTGATAGAATTATTAAAGATTAGAATCTCGCAGATTTCTAGGGTCTCCTGAAAACTGATTTCAACATACACACAGACATACGGACATGGCTAAATCGACTCCGCTAGCTTAAAAAGATCTAGAATATACATATGTTTATACTTTATAGAGTCGAAAATCATATTATAGAAATTGCGAACGGAATGACAAACTTATATATGTATACCCCTCTCACGAAGATGAAGGGTATAAAAATTAGAATAGATATTCAAAACGTAATTATCCACCAGTTCTTGTGGCAAAAATACTTTCGTTCAGCGTTATTAAAATGTAATGTAAATAAAAAATATATATGCATAAATAAGAATAATCTTTGAAATATTTAAGATATTTAGAGCTTACCTTAAATTATTTAAAAAAGTGATTTGAGTTTTTTATTATTTTTTTAAATATTTTATTATATTAATATTAATAAATATTAATAAATCTAAAAGAGTTGCATTAAATATACCTATATATTTTTTTTAATTTATTTATTGTTACCCATATGTTTTTCAAAAATTATATAATTTTAGTTTATTTGTTTTTTTATTTATTTATTTATGACACTTTTATTATTATTATTTTGGGTCACGATTTTTTTTATTGATACATATTTGCATAGTGTTTACACTTTTCCAAATTCTAAAGTTTGTAAAAATATTTTTTATAAATTTTGTGTTCCTATGTTAATTTTCCTCGTAACATTAACGATGCCTTGAGCATGCATTTTCTTTAAATATTATTTTAAATTAACAATCACTTAATTTTTTTTGGCAAAATGTGTAATAATAAATTGTGATGTATTTTGTATGGATAAATATGTAAATCAATTTAATACAAAAAATTAAATGCCGAAAATCGTTAAAAACTAATTTGATTCAAAAAACAATTTAATTAAGTAATGTTATTTACGGCAAATAAATCTATTTTAACTAACAGTTGAATATAGTAAGTTAACGAGCTGTCTCATGTTGATACTGAGACTCCACTGTGACCTTTAATAAAAGCTTACAAAAACACTTGGCAGGCGTTTCTATGTAAAATCTTGGTGTCTACTTTAAATCATATTTTTCTTGTTAATTTCTTAAATTTTTATTTATATTTCATATAACCCTTATAAAATACATTCGCAATTATATTTTTCTTTTAACAAAATTTTGCTTAGTTAATTTTAAAGGAATATTTTAATAATTTTCTTAAATTTTCACAAACCGGACGGAAAAAGCGCGAAAAATAACTGAAAATGACAGGTTGCATTTGACACTAGCAGGGTTGTGTTTAGTTGTAGTTATGTTACGAGTACTGTAAGGAAATATAAGCTAAAATATGACAAACATATGCCGTTAAATTTAAATATTAGCAAAGCTTTTGAAATTACAGTTTGTAAGCAATAAAAACATGTACATACATATGTACATTAATATATAAATAACTCTGTTAATAAACGATATTATCTAGTGCTGTTAAAAATGTACATAATAATTTGAACAAGGTTTTATAGTATATATTCAGCTTTTTTTAAGATTTTATTAATTTTTACGTACATACTAGCACAATTTTATAGTTATGTACATATTTCATTTACCTATTAAGTTAATAACAAATTTATTCGTATTCACATCTTTACAGAATAGAAGCGGAAATATCCATTTAATTTCCATGTTGTTGCAAAACTCTGTTACCAATCGAAACAAAATAGTAGGGTTCTATAGTTGAAACGAAAAGTCGACTTTTCGACTTTTTGCATTTAGTTAAAAGTCGACTTTTCGACCTTTCGACTTTTTCCATTTTATGAAAAGTTGATTTTTCGACTTTTCGACCTTTTTCATTTATTTAAAAGTCGACTTTTAGACTTTTCGACTTTTAGTATTTTATAAATGGTCGACTTTTCGACTTTTTCCGACTTTTTTCGACTTTTCGACTTTTTTCGACTTTTCGACTTTTTTCGACTTTCAGACTTTTTCCGACTTTTCGATTTTTTACGACTTTTTGACTATTTTCGACTTATTTCGACTTTTTGACTATTTTCGACTTATTTCGACTTTTTTTCGACTATTTTTTTACTTTTTTCGAGTTTTTCCGACTATTTTAGAGTTTTTGACCTCTTTTCCACTTTTTTAAAATTTTCGACTTTTCGACTTTTTCCGACTTTTCAACTTTTTTCGACTTTTCGACTTTTTTTCGACTTTTCGACTTTTTTCGACTTTTCGACTTTTTTCGACTTTTATTTACAAAGTCGACTTTTCGACTTTTTTCATAGACGATAGTCGAGTTATCGACTTTTTTGGAACAAAATAGTCGACTTCGACTTTTTTCGACAAAAAGTCGATTGTTCGATTATTCGAAAGTCGATTTATAGAACCCTACAAAATAGCAGAAAAATATACTTTAAAAAAGCACACAAAATTATTTTAATGTTAAAAGTTTACAATGACCTTTAAACTTTCAAAAATAACTAAATTTTTAATAAATTTATAAATTTTTTTAGTACAATTTTTGTTCTCCACCATGATTTTTTATATAAATACTCGTTTTTTCCTTTTTGTATCATCACTAACTGTTATCGTCGATGAAGTTCTTATTTATCTTCAAAAAATCGCTAAAACTCCCAACAAAATCGCTGAACAATTACAGTTACTTTTTCCTAATACACAAATGGCAACTCTTTTCACAATCTTTGACACATCACAATCTCAGAACGAAAAAGAAAACAAAAGAGATAGAAAAAAACATAGAAAGACAAAAGAAAGGAGAACGTGAAAAAGTTTTGTCAACATTATTTTCATTGATAAAAAAAATTTGATAAAATTAATATATACGCTGAAAAAATACAATAAAAAATTCAATACAATCACACGCACAATAACATAAAACGCATTTAATTTTTGTTCATAAAATTAATTTTCCTTCAATTGAAGGTCAATTTTAAGTTAATTTTTATTATTTTGGTTTCAGTTTTTGATTTTTTTAACAAAATTCTTCACGATTTTTCGACCAATGGACGAATCCGAACTATTGTTTAATCTCTTTTATCTACTCCTATGCATGTGCATCATCTATCCACCCGAGGAATTTCAACGTTTGGGTCTAACCATTGAACAACTTTTCTCCCGTTGGTTGGGTGAGGAGCATCTGAATTTTGTACGTTATCATCAGAAACGCACCTCTCTGAATCTCTTCATACACAGCTGTCTGCCGGCCGTCTATTTTCTCATACATCGTTTTAAGTTTTCCGTTTTTACGGAATACAATGCCGATGTCGAGGAAGAGTCTGAATTGGATCCCGATTTTCCTATGCCTCAGGAAGCGGTAGCCTTTAAGACTCTCACCTGGAAGGTGGCACAACGTTTTAGTTTAATGGCCGTTTTAGCGGTGCCAGCCTTGATATTCAATTGGTATCAACAGAATTGGAAAAGACATCCCATTACTCAGACTCTGCAGAAATTTTCAAATGTGCCAAATAGCACTGCGAATGTTATTTCGGATATTGGCAATGAGTTTAGAAGGTAGGTGGGATGTAAGGATTAAAATAAGATATTTTTATTTAATTGATGGACTTCTTTTTCTTTCTTCAGGCAGGATATTTATAAGAAAAAACTCAATTCAATATCAACTGTAATTGCCACTGAAAATTGGATTATTAAAACTACTTTGTATAATGTACATTTTGCTCATCAAAGTGATACGGCGCTCAGTGTGGCCAAGGTAGGAAGGTTATCGAACTTTATTTCTATAAAAATTATTATTCCAAAATATTCAGAATATCAGTTTAAGTTTATTTGAAAACAGAACAAATTTCACTTAATATGTATCTCGAAAATTCGATAGGATTGAGAAAACTTTACTTTAGATAATCTCTGGCTATTGACATTTTTTAATTTTGTTGGTTTGTGTATTTCCTCAAAAGTTTCTTAAAATTCATAACAATGTTAACATTTAAAAAAAATCTGGAAAATGTAGTTACATTAAAGAACAGGTTCCAGAGAACCATTGTAAAATACAACAAGTAAGAAAGTATAGTCGGGCGTGGCAGACCATATGATACCCTACACCAGTTATGAATATTAAATGTGATTTATTTTTCGGAATAAAGCATTTATCTTCAATATTCCCTTGTTCCGATACATTTAAGCAATTTATGGATGAAAAACTAATTTTCTGAAAGAGGCTTTATATGGGGGCTAGGGGCAAATATGGACCAAGGACGATAAAATTCTGTGAATATATTTATATTTACATAATATTTTATTGTGCTGAATTTCATCGTGATATTTGTGTTTATAAGTTAATTTGGGACATTCAAGTAATTTTCTGAAGGGGACTTTGTATGGGAGCTAGGGTCAAATCGGGCCTTTATGAAATTTGGCAGGGTCATCAAGACTTCTATAAAACTTAGTTGTGCCGTATTTTATCGATATATCTGTATATTTTACATAATTATGAGCTCAGAAGCCCTTTTCGGGGGTTCTGTTCTATGGGGGCTAGGTGAAATAATGGACCGATTTTAACCATTTTCTATAGGCTTCGTCCTTGGGTCAAATAAAACGTGCGTGCCAAATTTCATCCAATTATCTTGAAAATTGCGACCTGTACCTTTCGCACAAGGTTTACATGGACAGCCAGCCAGCCAGACGGACGGACGGACATAGCATAATCGACTCAGAAAACGATTCTAAGCCGATTGGTATACTTTAAGGTGGGTCTAGGACGAATATTTTTGTATGTTACAAACATCAGCACAAATCCAATATACCCTCCCCACTAAAGTGGTGTAGGGTATAAAAGCTTCCTCAAAACCAGTTCCGAACCTTAAAATTTTGAGCAAAAATTATTTTTTCAGCGAAATCTAAATACTTACTCATACACAACATCATGCGTGTTTTGATTTTTTTATGCATCACAGATTTCTAAGATGCATTTCCGAACATACTGCGCATCAGATGAAGCGCAGTGATGCATTCCCAAACAAGCCGTAAATTGATTAAACAATTCTAGATTTTTACGTATATCAAATTTTCTTAAATAAATAAGATTTACAGCCAGAAATCAAAGTTTATTAAAAATGTTTGTCCAATTCACAATCGGTGTTGTATGATTATATCGTCCCAGCAAAAAAAGTGAGGAAAAAGAAGTAGAATTTTCAACACAAATAACATACTTGAAGTACTTCAAATTTTGGTGAAAAAACTATGAATTTTACATTAGCGTGTCATTGGGGGGATGTTGTTCATTTTTGACAACTTTGAACTACATCTAATCTTATTCATAGATGCAGTAAAAATCCGATATTTGGATGTCAAAAATAAACCACATTCTTTCAATGACACGCTTATGTAAATTTCATTGGTTTTTCACCAAAATTTGATGTACTTCGAATATGTTATTTGTAGTGACTTTTCAACATCTCTTTCCTCACTTTTAACTCGGTTTTTATTTGTAAGGAAATATTTGGTTTATAGAAGCGAAAAATATGCAATCGCATTTTTAGATGTGATTAAGATGTCGTTTGTAAAGTATGACATCAATTATTTTTTGCTGGGGTATTATGTCGTAATTTTTTGTTATAGTTTTGTTTTTGTTTCAAATAATTTTATTTGAAAAAATTTTGACACACAACATTATGAATTACTTCCTATATTTTAATTTATTTAGCAGTTAGAGAGCAGTCTAAATTTCCATTATTGAATTAATAAAAATAATCCCATTAATTTTTCATTTCAGACCGAAACCTATACCGTTTCACAGGACAATAACGACACCCTACAAATGGTTAGCATTATGGTTAAGACAAATCGTGCTGGTGTAGCCGACTTTCATATACGCATAAATGCCTTAGAATTTCGTAATCTCGAAGAACGTATAACACGACCAATTTTAATACCATCCAACATACAATTTCATCGTAATGTCATCGATCGTTTTATCGATGTTTTCAAACAACAAGTCAGTCATAATCCCATCTATAAGGCCGATCGTATAACGGAAAAATGTTTTGCCTGCATGATAGCCGAACCAAATATAAAAATACACAAACAATGTGAGGATATAGATCGTGCGGGTAGACCTTTGGTACAAGATCAATGTTGTACAAATTGCTATTGTCGGCCCATGTGGTGTGTAGAGTGTTTGGCTCGTTGGTTTGCCGCCCGACAAAATGAACATGAACGTGAAGTTTGGCTGGAGCAGAAATGTACATGTCCCATGTGTCGTGCCAAATTTTGTGTTCTAGATGTTAGTTATATAGAGAGAACCGTAGGGAATGAAGCGAATAATGATAATAACGACAATATAGATAATGAAAATCAAGCGTGATTATAGTTTTAGTCTACTGTTTTATTGATTTTTTGTTTTGTTTTCATTAAAAAAAAAAAAAAATACTTAAAGAACTGTGTTCAACTAACTTTTGCATATAAATTTACAAAACTATTGAAATTATTTAAATAACTAATTATTACTTACCAGATTTTTCTTTAAATAAAGTTTAGTTCATAAAATGAATTAAGTTTTTCTATAAACATGCAACTAATTTAAGTTTTTGTACTGAAATCTATATTGTTATCTAATATAAAAGAAACAGCTATTTTAAAATGTTTTTTTTTTTTATTTTATTAGTTTAAATTTTCTTTTTTTTATACATATATATACTCTTAACTAATAATTTATATATGTAGCTATAAATACTTGTATTTATGTAATAGTGTCTTTCTTTTTTCTTAAATATTAAAGTTTTATTTATAAAGTATTGCCTAAATTACTATGGAAATTATCACGTTTATTTCAAAAAATACTTGTAAAGTTACTTTACCTTTTTTTTACTATTATTAACAATATTTATATAAAATTAAATCTAATTTTTTAAAAATCATAATGATTATAATCAATATAGAAAAAAAAAAACAATCTAAAACTTTATTTTATTATTTAATTTTGAGGTTTTAATTTAAGTACTTTTCACCAATTAACCCTTTGAAGTTTGCTTTTTTTTTTTTTTTTTTGCTATTTGGCATATGATAATGTTGTTGTTTTAAACTTTAGTTTATTTCGTTGTTTAAAAACAATTATTCTTGAACTTTATTTAGATGACCTTTAAAATGGAGATTTTGAAATTTGTTTCCGATACAGAAGACCTTTTTGTTGTCTGACTTACATTCGAATTATAATTGAAACTTTTTCATATTATTAAAACAAAATAGTTTTCTCATTAGAATTCTTTACAAGAAATTTGTTTAAAACATTCTTTTTAATAGAAAAAACTAAACAATTTGTCTATAAAAAAACTGTTATACAGAATAAAAGAAAAACTGTTATACATAATATTTTCCATAGAAAATAAAATTATTATGAAAATTGTCTATAGGGAATACTGTTATATAGAATATTTTCTATAGAAAAAAAAACTGTTATATAGACTATAGAAAAAGCACATGTGAATCATGTGGCTTAGAAGTGTAGTTTCAAATATCGTGGGAACCGAACTTTATACCAAAAATAAAGTTTATCGTAATTGTTTAAAAATCGTTTCTATCTCTTGGTGCTAAAGATATCAATTACAAAACCATTTTGCAATTTGCAAAATATTATTTTTTTTTTTTATAATTTGTTCTTATTATACCTCAATTGAAACCTTAAGAAAATTTCAAAAAATCCTTAAATTTTCCTTTTTTTTAATTTATTTCCCCACTATTTAAAGGTCAATTTTAAAAAGTTATACTTTAAATAATTTTACTTAAACTAAATATATTTATTTCAAATAATATATATAGATATGTATAGTAAGTATATGTATGTATGTAAGTCCATTATTTATATTTGAATTTCAATAATTATAGTTTTCAAATATATATTCTCTAACTGCGCCTTAATAAATACACACATTGTGTTAATGCCAACAATATAAAGTTATAAAAATTATTCAAAATAAAATTAACAAAGAAATCAAATAAAAATCAGCAAACATGTTTATAAAATATTTAAAGAAAAACTCAAATATTCATAATATTTTAGAAATGTGTATTCTCTAATCATTGGAAAAGATTTTCAACATAAAATTTCTTTTTTTTCATACGCTGAGTTTCTCATAAGTAGTAGTAATAAGTAGCATAAAAAAAAAATAGTAAAAATTGCTAACAAAATTTCAATTATCATTGTTATTAAACATTTTTGTGTGGCTCTTAAGTTATATGTTCTTTTTTTTTCTTTAATATTTTAAGCAACAAAAAAAATTAAAGAACATTTTTGTTTTTGCCTTTATAAATTTGTCTCATAGTAACTTTTATAGGTTTCCATTTTGTCACGTTGTCTTGTATTGGCCGATGATGATGATGATGAGATCGATTTTGTAGAAGCGGTTTGATTTTGATAGGATTTTGTTGAGGCAAATGTTGATGAACCATAATGTGATGAGATCTGTAAAAAAAAATAGAAAGAAATAAATACAATTAATTAAAGAATTTCTCATGAAAGAAAAATGTTAAAAGTTTGTTTTATTTAAGTATAATAATAGATTTTAAAGAAAAGTTCTATATTCGGCAGTACCGAATCTTATATACCCTTCATTATAGTGTATTAAAAAAACAGGACGTTGGTTGTTTTAATGTTTCTAAGAGCGGGTTTTTGAGATGGTAATCAAATGCCAATTAATAATCAGATTAGTTAATCTAAAAATAAATTTAATCTTATGTTAATCCCCTTTGATGTTTTTGAGTACAAGATTAAACTTCGCAGTGTTGCCATACAAAACAACAGAAAACTTCACTGTTTGTTATCAAAACAATGCATATTTTATAAAAAAGAAGAAGACAATTGTAAATTTAATATGAAAATTAATGAAAACAAAAAAATGTATTTTGAAGTGTCCATAATTTATACTAATCAATAAATAGAACATTTTAATGTTTATATTTATAAAAATTGTATTAATTTTTTTGCATCAGCTGTTTACACTATTGCATTACGTGCTTAAGATTAAACCACCTCCATTGGGCGCTTAAACTTGCAAACAAAATTAACTAATTGAGTACTCAAAAACATCTTTCGAGGATTAATTTAAATTTAACCGCTAATCTTTCACCTAAAGATTGGCCCTTAGTTAGCTAGTTAGTTTGTTAGTTAGTTAGTTAGTTAGTTAGTTAGTTGGTTAGTTAGTTAGTTAGTTAGTTAGTTAGTTAGTTAGTTAGTTAGTTAGTTAGTTAGTTAGTTAGTTAGTTAGTTAGTTTGTTAGTTAGTTAGTTAGTTAGTTAGTTAGTCAGTTAGTTAGTTAGTTAGTTAGTTAGTTAGTTAGTTAGTTAGTTAGTTAGTTAGTTAGTTAGTTAGTTAGTTAGTTAGTTAGTTAGTTAGTTAGTTAGATAGTTAGTTAGTTAGTTAGTTAGTTAGTTAGTTAGTTAGTTAGTTAGTTAGTTAGTTAGTTAGTTAGTTAGTTAGTTAGTTAGTTAGTTAGTTAGTTAGTTAGTTAGTTAGTTAGTTAGTTAGTTAGTTAGTTAGTTAGTTAGTTAGTTTGTTAGTTAGTTAGTTAGTTAGTTAGTTAGTTAGTTAGTTAGTTAGTCCGCTCTACCACATTAGAACATTAACCTACCGGAGAGCACACCTATATGCCTCTAAAATGAGTCGAAACTGATTAGAGAAGGGTCAAACAAAACACTCTTTTAGAAGAGTAGCGGTCTCCCGGCGAAAGTATAATTTTTGATAAGAAAATTAGCTCATATGTGATCACTTTACTCGTGCAGAAGAGTCATAAATGACTCGATTGTCATCAAAAATTTCATAAAAATGCTACCTGGGTTTGCTTTAAAACGATATTCTTCATTTTTACCACAAACAACATTTTATTTTATAAAAGGTTTATAAAACAAAATTTCCATACAAAATTTGATTTATAAGCCGTTTATAAAATAAACATTTGTTTATGAGTAAGGCCTTTAGAACATAAAATGATGAAATTATATTTCCAATTTCTTTAAATACATTTTATTTTATATATTTTACACTATTTCCGTTATTTTTTTTTTTTCAAAATTTCTACACTCCTACTCGCCTAAAAACTAGGACCAGTGCATTTAACAATTTATTTATTATTTAAAAATGTTTAACAATTTAACAAAATTGTATTATTAATTGCGAAAACATTTCTTTTTATTAATGGCAAAACACTGAAAATCAATAAAAATAATAATGAAAACATTTTCTAAGAAATAAATGGGTAAGTCCCTTATAAAAAAAAGAACTAATAATACAATTTGCGTGTACTTTCTTTATCTTAAAACACAAATTGTAAAATCAAGAATTGCAATGATAGAGAGACAGACATATTCGCAATAAAATTATTATAAATAAATTGACAATAAATAATATGCGGGAAAACACTTCAAATTGAAAGTTATAGACAATCATGATTACATAATTTTTATATGTTTAAGTTTAACCTATGTGAGTTGGAGATATACATAGCGTTTGTAGATTTTGAGACCCATTTCGAAAAGATTGTAGAAAGTTTTTGAAACGCTGAGATATCCTAATGTATACCCTACATGGACCATCTATATATTTTTTCCAACAACATGTATTGCCATAGTTTTGGATAGGGTATTTAATTTATATTGTTTTAAGGGTAGCAAAGCACACTGGCTATAGCTAGTGGTAATATAAAATTGCATTAGTTGGTCTCATTATGCCTAAAATATCACATCAAACTGACATGTGACGTTATTTGCTAAAAATAATTTTAAAGAAAACTTATTTATTCAGTTTTTCTATAGTACATTGCAAAAAATTAAAAAAAAAAAAATAAACTAAGTATTTATATAGAAAAAAAGTGATACGTTAATGTTTATAAATAAATGTATTTATTTTATCTACAAGTATAATGAAAGGCTTAAAAAAGCCTTAACAAAAAAAAAAAAAAAAACAATAAATAAAAACACAATAAAATAAACTTTAAATTAAACTAAAAAAATAAAAACAAAACTTATATATAAACAATTGAATGACATAAAGTACAAAGTGATTACAGAAGAAATTAAAAAAAAAAAAAAACATAAAATGTTTTACGTACGTCACATAATTAATTAATTATCACTACAAAATAAAAAACTTGACATGAGCGCCGGCCGTTAAGTTTTCAAATAAAAAAAGAAAAAAAACATAATGAGAAGGGCGAATCAAAAAAAAAAGGAAGTAAACATAAAACGGAAGTTTACATGTTCTTACTACACAAACTCATAGGTACTGCCCAATAAACCAAAGAACGATATGATAGCGAAAACGGTATTGCTTTTAAAGGGCGATTATGATATCATATTTCATTATTTAAAACGATATTATTATAATATCGTTTTATATTATTTTGTTTCCAATAAAAAAATTAAGAAAATACAAACATTTGAAAAAAACTTCAAACATAAAAATAATTTCAATAAAAATTTTCGAACATAAGAAAACTAAAAGGATATTAAAATAAAATCAACTAAATGATTGATAAATAATCCAAATAAATACGCGAATTTCGTTCGATACTTCAGTTTTGTGGTAAGTTGACATGTATGCAATTTTGAAAAGTTTCAGGTATTTGCAAGACAATGCATAATGTGATGAAAAATATGATTACTTTAAAATATGTATTAATGTATGTATGTAAATATGTACAAATGAATGCAATCCTTCCCTTTTCAGACTTTTTTATATGTATAATAGCGAAATATTAAGTTAAATAGCGTTTTAAATGAAATTTTAAGAATAAAAGAGCATACAGAAAAAAAAACTGAAAAAGGCGATTACACTATCATTATTTTTGGAAATTATGATAGCGAAAACGATATCATAATTTTATGGAAATACGATATCATAAGGAAAGGTACCATTTAGTACGTAAATACTATCGTTCTCGATACGAGAACGACTATCACTTATGATATTTTTTATCACCTAAGTGATATCGTTTCGATATCGTTATAATATCGTTTGGTTTATTGGGTGATAAGAATTAAAAATAAAATGTAATGGAAAATTACAACAAAAAAAGTACCAAAACTATAGAGTGTAGAAAGACGTGACATTCAAAACTAATTTGAAAAAATATTATTTAAGAATTTAATAGATATTTAGTACACGATTAAGATTATAAATATACAATAAAATTAATTGTTTAGATTACTGTAATGAAATTTAGGAACATCGCTAAACATGTCTTCTTAATAACAGGGCTCTTTGAGATCAAAAAAACTAACTAGCGATTCAATTTGTTTTGAATTTTATAAACCAAATAAGTATTTCAATTTTCACAATATGACGTTTCGAATTGAATAAGAATATTTACTAAATATTTCACTAAATGGGTCAAGTCAAAATAATTTCCTTGAAGGCACTAAAAAAACACCATTTGATTGAAATACATATTTGAAGATTGGTATAACCTTTACCTAGATGAGAAGGATATTTCATTTATGACATAATCCATAACTTATCCATGTACTTTCCATAATTGATGAGTTTTTGGATTGATTGTGTTCTTGAAATCTACATTTTTTTATCATAATGTTATATAGCCATTGGAACTATGGTTCTATAAAACGACTTTCGAATAATCGAACAATCGACTTTTTGTTGAAAAAAGTCGAAGTCGACTATTTTGTTCCAAAAAAGTCGATAACTCGATTATCGTCTATGAAAAAAGTCGGAAAGTCGACTTTGTAAATAAAAGTCGGAAAGTGGAAAAGTCGTAAAAAGTAGAAGAAAGTCGAAAATGGTCCAAAATTAAAAAAAAGTCGTAAAAAATCGAACAAAGTCGAAAAAAAGTCGAAAACTCTATAATAGTAGAAAAAAAGTCAAAATAGTAAAAAATTTGAAAAAAGTCAAAAACTCGGAAAGACTTGAAAAAAGTAAAAATATAGTCGAAAAGTCGGAAAAAGTTAAAATTCGGAACAATTCGAAAAAATTCGACTATTTATAAAACATTAAAAGTCTAAAAGTCGACTTTTAATTAAATGAAAAAAGTCGAAAAATCGAAATGAAATGCAGCTAAATGCAAAAAATCGAAAAGTCGACTTTTCGTTTCAACTATAGAACCCTAATTGGAACATCCATAAGGGTTATTGGACCTATTCTTTTCAACTAAAACAAGCCCTACACCATAATATTCAGCGGAGTCGATTAAGCAATGTCCGTCCGTCTGCATGTCTGTCCGTTCGTCCGTTGAAATAAATTTTCCGAAAACCCTAGATATTTTCGGGATCCAAAACTGCAATAATTCTGTCAGACATGTTTTTGAGAAATCAGCCAAATCCGTCCAAAAATAACGAAGATATGAGCAAACATCTGAGACAACTTTTGTAAATTTCCTCGAAACAATACAATTTTTTATATGATTTGACAAAAAAACAACAAAAACATTGCTTATTGTAAGAAAACGTATGTTT